GCTCGGAGCCACCCACCAGGTCTCCCGAGCTGTGAACTGTAGTGGAAGGGAAGGGGAAGACAGGGCTCTGATTCAAGGGACCCTTCCAGAGCTCCTGGGAGAGGCCCCTGTGGTGACCAGGGGCCCTGAGCTGCTGCCTGAGCCTAGGTGTGAAAAGACCCAGATTATCCCAGGAGTGTCATTGACTGTGTGCGGGGACACACCGTGTTTGGTCTTTGGTCGTGCTGATGGTTAGCATGCCTGGCTGCTCACGGGGAAGGTTGGAGGTTCGATCGCCCAAGGGTACCTTGAGAAAGGCCTGGGGATCTACTTCCACAGACTCAGCCACTGAAACCCCGGAGGAGCCCAGTTCCACTCTGACTGCCATGGAGTGCAGCCTGTCGGGAGGGATTTCTGCTCACGCATTCCACTTCAGCCTGGTCCCAGAGCACCACCCCAACCCCCACAACCCCTGGTCTGCAACCTGAGCCTCCCAGAACTTGGGTCCAGAGGGAAGCCTTGCCCTGGCAGCTGAGGCCCCGGTGCCCTGGATTAAGGAGGTCTAAGGGATGAGTCTGGAGCTCTGGTGGCTCAGAGGCTCGAGTGTCAGGCTGCTAGCTGAAAGGCTGGTGGCTTGACCCCACCAGGCGCTCTGTGGGAAAAAGATGAGAGGTCGAGTTCCCCAAAGATTTACCCTCTCGGAAAGCCCCTGGAGCAGTCTGCCCCGCCTGTCCTATAGGGGCCCGGTGAGTCAGAGGCCACTCAAGGCCGTGAGTTTGGGGCTTTGGGGTTGGTCTGGGAGATGACTCAGTAGCCAAGCAATACCCTGTGTTAGCTGTTCAAAAGCATCACCCATCAACCCTCAACTGGCCACCGCTGGGGCAGTGGCCCTCCATGCCAAGGTACGCTGGGTGGAGGGACAGGGATGACGGAGCAGACCTTGGCCAGGTTTCCTTGACCCTGGGCGCCCCCAAGACACGCCCACAGCGCTGACGGCTCCACGTCCAAGGGAAGCCTCTTCCGGGCATGTGTGGGGATGTCCTGAGCGGGTCACACGCTGCAGCAATTCTGGGCGGGGAGGGGTGTGACCCCCCACTCAGAGGTGATTCCATCTGTTTTTCCCAAGTGCAAAAAAGCCCCACGGAAAATGGAACCTTGCCTGGGAAGGAAGCCATCCCCTAACCTCATAACCACATGCCTTGGCCCTCCGGCTCCCCTGCGTGGGGCTGGGCAGGGTTCGAACTGGGCAGATATGTCAGCCGGCCTCCAGGCCTGGAAGCGGCAGCTTGAGCGGAAGGATCTGGCGGGGAAATGGGTGTCACAGCGGCCACATTACATACCGCGACGTGCAGCCCTGGCTGTGTGCGTGCGTCTTGGGGGGGGGGGGGGGTCTTCTTCTGCTGGTGTGGGGCACCCTTGTGAGGTTCCAGAAGGGAAAACCACTCCCGATTCCTGAAGGGGAGGTATGAGCCAGCACGCATCTGAAGGAAAGGAAGCCGGGCCATGCGCACACACCAAGCACCCCAGCTCTGAACACTGCTTTCTAAAGCAATGGGGCTCCAAGTGTTTACAGAGACAACAAAGCTCCCAGCGATGCTGCTAATTCCCCAAACCACTGTGGCCAAAAAGTTCTGACCTTTGTGGGGCAAGCCCCGGGGGTGGCCTGACCCCTGCTTCTCTGGCCTACTCTTTCACATCCTTCCCCTGGGCTTCAGGTGGAGGATGGAGAGGGCCCCTAGGGAGGTCCGTTCAGACCTCCTCTCTCTTTTTCCTCTCTTCATACAACTGCCGCCCCCTCCCTTCACTGCCCCCACCAGTTCATCAGCCTACAGTAGCTTCCCCTTTCATCTCACCGCCAGCGCCCCTCATCTTCCCTGGCTGCCATCCGCTCCCAGGCCACAGACCTGCCCTTGCAGCGCGTAGCACCATGCCTTTTGCCTGGCAGACTGATGGAGCTGCAGGGGAGGCTCAAGGCCTGCTGGTTCAACTCCCCTCATTCTCTAGAAGAGGAACCTGAGGCCCAGAGGGGAAAAAACGTCCCAAGGCAGGGCTCTTGGTGAAACTTTCTCTGGGAGCCCACGGGTCTGGCAGAAGTTGTGAGAATGGGGGGTGGAGGGCAGAGGCGCTGGATCAGGCCGGCATGAAACCTCCTCTCTGCCGCCGCCTGGCTGTGCGGCTTTCAACTGTCGCTCAACCACTTGGCACCTCCGAGGCTTGGGCTTCTCGCTGGACTGCCGCACAGAGCGGAGTTGGTAAGCACCAAGCACAGGCCTGCAGTGCAGGGGTGGAGGGTGGCGGGGAAGGACAGGGAGGCCCGGCTGTCTTGCTGTATCGAAGGTGGACAGATGGGAGGAGGACAAAGCAGGCCGCTGGAAGTAAGGGGAGCTGAGGTGTGTGGTGGAGCGAATAAATGGTCTGGCTGCTTATTTAACCCCGCCCCCACCCCAGGCCTCCGTTTCTGTATCTGTGTGATGGGATAACAACAGTGCCTACTTTCTAGAGACGGACCGCCAAAGGGTGGGAGGTGAAGTCTGGCCACCTCCGCTTCGCAGGACCATCCTGGCTATATCTCTTCCAACACAGAGCACTTTGTGCCTCTGGCAGCCCATGGTACTTTCGATATTCTTTGCCACCACCCGAATTCCAATGTGTCTATCCTTCTGCGGTCTGCCTTATGCCTTGTCCAACTCTCCCATGCCTGAAACTACCGTGGCTTTGGTCAGGCGCGCCTTAGTCCTCACAGTCTCGATAAATGGTAGTTGAAATATATTTGAGGGTATAGCAAGGAAACCAAATCTGATTTCCTTAGCCCCATCTCCATCCCTGGGCAATGTATGAATTGAGATCTTCTTGTCCTTCTACTCAAAGCCCAGCTCCCCGGGCTCCTGCTCCAGAGCTCTTCCCGACAGGCCCTGCGGCACGCACTTGAACTCACCCACACACCCAGGCTTAGCTCAGGATCATCCTGTTCTCTCTGTCAGGAGCCATCCAATTTGTCCTGTAGCCAGGTCCCAAAGGAGAACCTCTCCCCTCCCCCGCAGACAGCTCCCGTCCTGGACGATTAGACCTGGTGGTGCCGTGCGGAGGAAATCTGGTGGCAGGGCCCAAAGGAACTGTGGCAGTGGCTCTTTGTAAGGAGCGCAGACCCCCTTTCTGTGCGGGGTTCCTCTGTGTTGCGTTTCCGTGGTGATGGTGAAAAGATTGGAGGGAAAAGAAGCAGGCCTCTGGGAGTTAGCCCAGGGGTGGGGGTGAGGGCAAATGAATCGGCGGAGGGAGGGCGGGAGGGAGTCATCCTGAGTGGAGAGAAGAAGAAGCAAGGGTAGGGAGTGGCAAGGCTGAGTTCTGGAAAATGCATGGCCAGGGGACTTGGAGGGAGCCCTGGTGGTGTAGTGGTTACATGTTGGACTGCTCACCGGAAGGCCAGCAGTTTGAAACCGCAGGAAGCTCTGGGGGAGAAAGACGAGGCTTTCTACTCCCATAAAGAGTTCCAGTCTCAGAACCCCCCAGGGCAGTTCCACCCTGCCCTACCAGGTCGCTAGGAGTGCAAATAGATTCAGGGGCAGTGTGTTTGATTTTGGTTTTTTGAAGGAACTTGGAGAATATCTTCAGTGGGTAGATGGCCACACACACACACACACACAGCACGTTCCCAGGACTCCAGCCTCAAGAAGGGAGAAGGTCTCAGAGACAGATGGGTCTTGAGGGGCATGGGAGTTAGAAATTATGCTATTCCTGATTAGAGAGTTCTCCACCACC